CCAATCCGCTGTGGGAGAGCCATAAACAAGAAATAGATAGATAGATACTATTTTCATTGCATTCAATGATTTTAATTCTACGTTTTTAAATCCCTCCATCAATTTATTAAAACACAGGAAAATAAAAGGTAGTAGTATACTTGTGGTAATAAAGTTATCCATATATCGATTTGGAACTACGCACGAGAAGAGAAAATAATTTTAGATATCGAAGAGACATAAAGGGAGACGTGGGCGAGGAACACCCCACACCGTACTTTCACTCTCAGTGGGCGCAGTTAAGCTGAAATGCGCTCGCAGCTAACTACAACACGACCTGTTCGTTTAAATTATATCTCCGAAACCCGCTACAGACGTTGTTTAAACTGAAATACTAAAATGTTCGGTTAAAACCGTGTCTAAAGAACATTTTAATTGTCAGTTGAAGTTAAGTAAGCTGAGCGTATGTAGCGGGTTTTATGATCTAGTAATGGCCGGTTTCCCAGCTAATTTTAACCATTAGTTAGTGTTATTGGCTCCATAACTTCATGAAATGCGTTTTAGAATTACGTAACTTGAGTTTTACTCCTTTGAAACTTAGTTCAATCTAACAATAAAGAATCAGTAGGTAATGATAAATTAAATGGATACTTCAGCAACCCAGCATAACTCTTTTGATAATGGTGTTCTGTCAGGCAGGGCAGCTGGTGTCGAGCCCGGGCAGCACGGAAGCTCAGACTATCCGCAGCGACCGCATCACCTGGATAGACGGCAAGGAACCACAATGTTTCTACATTAAGCAGCTCATCTCACAGGTTAGCTACATCTGTTACAGTTCATCTTCCTACGCTTAAATATGTACCATCCAATTATTAAACGAATCCAATCTAAATATTTATAGTAATTAGTGATTTCTCTTACCAAATCTACACTACAGGACAAACTTGTCAAAGTTTTCGTACTGATTTTGACCACCATTAAATGCACTACATATAAGGTTTTATTTCTGCGCGGACGTAGGCTAGTCAATTATAAATATACTCTTTTTATGTATATGTATTTACTACATAAAATAAAACGTTTTTATTCGTTTTATAATCTCGCTTGCTCACCAAGGGCAATCGTTATCTCCGCAAGCTCTCACAATTAACACCTCCCGCTATGACACGCCTTGCAAATATTTTACTTTGATAAATATATTTTCACGACAGTTGCCCATTGTGTTCTATAAATGAACTGTGTTTTATTAGTTTATTTACTGTTTTTAAACGAATACATAATAAATATGACTGTAGAGTAGACAATGTTCAATATTTGTTCATGCTTACATCTGCATTAATTACGTTGCATTCGGGGTTTCCCAGAAGGAAATGAATTCGTTATTGAGACTCTTTGTTTTCTTATTCCATAATGTTTGTAAACACAAGATGACGTAAATATGCGTCATATTAACCGTGAGTTTCTATTGATGACAGATTTTTCAGAACTTTAATTCCATTTGCCGGAAGTCGTGTACGACACAAAGGTTTCATATTTAAGAATTTTAAAGTCTCTTCTCAATAACATGTTAGTTTTGCAATAAATCTGGATTTGACGGTAAACTTTAGCGCTATTCTCTGCAATCACATGTAGGTTAATAAAATATTTTGATACAGTATCGTTTGAGTGTGGATAATGATAGTGGTGATAGCGAGGCGCCGGCGATGGATTGCGTCTTGACCGGTATGTTCTTTAGCTAGGTGCATTTCGCATTCTTGATACTTACCTGTATACAGGTATAAGCATCATATATAAGACTTAAGATTTTTAGTTACTCTATCTCTGTGCGTAGAGTTCTTATTCATTGTGGGTTGAGATTTATTTAAAAGCCGGTAACCTGCGGTTCCTCTGTCTATGGGCGTCGGATTAAATTGTAATAGACGATCCGCTGTTCGTTTGTTGATTTTCATGTAGAAATATCTTTGTGGTCTTTTAGACTATTCCTTGTGATCTTCTGGGAGTTGAATTGATAACAATCATAGGTACAGACCATTAAGTTGAAACTTTGAGAGTAGTATGTTATTTGTCCTTTAAATGGAATATTTCTTGCCGAACATACCAGCTGTTTACGATTTACTATCCTGGCTACCTCGATTCCATCTGATGTGCTTATTTAAACTTGTTTTAGTTAATTAATTTAAACAATAACTTTTTTCAGGTAGACAAAATAATACTACAGGCGAACAAAATGCCCAATAATGGCAAGATGGGCGACTACGTCATCGATGGCAGGACGAAGGTAACATTATAATTATGAAAATACTAACTTTAGCTTTCGCCCGCGACTCGGACGCGTGGAACTAAATAAACAAAAGAAATTAGACTATTTGTTATTCCAGACTTTGCTCCACATCTCTGCCAAATTTCATCGAAATCAGTCCACCCGTTTAGGCTATAAACTCTAACAAACCTCCGTTCAAACTTCCGCAACAATAATATTGGTAACATAGCATAAAAACCAAAACAATTGCAACGTTGATCTACACATACTCATTTTAACTGAAACGACTAAATACTGAAACTAATCTTAAATAGTTGGCTTAGTAAGCGTCGCTTACTGATAGACGTCAAAATCTGCAACGAATTTCGTGTTAGACGCTGTAATAAATTTAAATGGCGTTTCAGTATACGACCGTTAGACCAACGCCGACGTCCTTTAACGATATTTATTTTCATTGATATTTTTTGTTCATTTTATCTGTGTTAAAGTCGAACTATTTCCGGAAGAATATAATCCACTTTGATCTCGATGCAGTTTGTAGATATCTGACCTTTACTGGTTGATTCCGTGCGTATGAAACATGTTTAACTTTTTTGTAAAAAAAAAGTTCAAAAACAACAACCACAATAACAAAAAACAATCAACTTTTTTTTAAAATAGAGATCATTCTGTCCTATAATGACGATTAATTTACAGATCTTATTCTGTGGTACTTTATTTATAAATTAACACATCGCAGTCATACACGATTTATTCACTTTTATCCTTTAGACGTGGAAATCCCAATTTAATGGCATAGTTTATGTGGTCATCCCAACTTTAATCATTTTTTGCTATTATTCATTTCTAATATTGTGAAAAGCTGATGCTGATAAAATAAAGAATGTTTTCAAACTAAACAATTTTCCTTCAACTAATTAAAAAAAACGATAACATTTGTAGATAATAAAAACAACAATAAATTATACAGATAACGAATTGCGAAATAAGCGCACATCGTAACTGAACGCAACCAATATAATAAACGTTATCTATGGCCCATCACTATCGCATGGCGTCAAGATTCGCGCGTCGTTGATAAAACGTCAAAATGAGGCGGGAACGCGCATGCGCGGCCGCGGTGCTGCGTACGTGACTCGCGGCATGGCTTGGTGAGGGGCTGCGGGGCACGGGCGGAGGGCACTGTAAACATTAGTAAGAACTAAGAACGTAGTCCCACGATACTGCGTCCCATGTTTGCTGTTTGCATCGTAGTCGGTACATTTCGCACCCTCGTTGTGGATTTAATAGCATCCTGTGTAATCAAATCGTAGTAAGTTGACAAAACTGACAATCTTATAAAAAGATAACCTAAACATTTACGAAACTTTAGACTTGAGTGGGATGTTTGTGTTTGGAAGTTATTTATAGATCTTTTGCTTATAGGAACTATGCCGTAGTTCAAATCTTTAAGAAAGTAGCGTGGGAATTGCTAAAGGATAAATTATGTAATACCAAACTAAATTTGTATCAAATTACTTTAGAAAATCAAAATATTACCTTCATTACTGTCTTTTGTCCTTGACTACACAATTCCATATATCGTAGGTATTTTACAAACTATTTTTTCTTTAAATATTTAATTAATAATCTTTGTTCCGAATGTTTGACATTCGTTTGTTTGATTAGGTTGTGTGCACAGAAACGTTTAATAGCGGTTAACAGCAAAGAATCGCTTTTCCGAAACCGGTTAGTTATGCAATGTTTACAAGTGGACGCATACGTTAACCGCAATGCAATTACGTGGCAAATATCAATATTTTGAATATAATATGCTGTAACTACTTAAATGGTTCCACTTCGTTAGGATAACACGTAATATAGGTTACACATTTTTTTTGTCGTAGTTTATAGCCCAGTTTTCGACTCATAGTTGTTAAGCCAAATAATGATCTGACATCTAAAATAAAAATCTGCACAGAGAAAATAAAACGTCCTCGCATTATAAATGGAAAACACAACAAAACTAAATAATATACTGATCTACCATAATCTGAGGATATTTATCGAACCATAAGTCAGTTTGCTCTTTTATTCGACTAATTAAAAATAATCTAACCACGTAACTGGAAAACGTTGCGTCACAATACTGTTACGAAACTTTTTTTGCACCGAAACTCGAGAGACAAAAAGTGTGCCGTTACCCCACATTTTATGAATGGAAGCCCTTCGGCTTAGTTATGAGTCACGAACCTATGCACGCTCCGTCACGTGCGCATTCCGTCAATACAACTGTACTCCCTTGCCCTTTGTTGTCGAGATGAAAGCCGATTTTGCTTTCGCTTTCTAACTCCGCTTGTATCTTACTACAGTAGAACCTCGATAAGTCAAAGTCCAAGGGAAACACAAAATATTTTCTGTTATAGAGGTTTTGGGCTCTTATTGGAAGGGAACATATTATTTTTTGAATTTGTAGAGGTTTTTATGTTACCGAGGTTTGAGTTATCGAGGTTCGACTGTATTATAAATGCGAAAGTTTAGATAGATGAACGTTTTAGAGTTTGCCTAAACTGGTGAATTAATCTCGATGAAATTTAAAACATATAGGCTACTTAGTTTTTTTTTTAATTACACGCGGTCGGAGTCGCTGGCGAAATCTAGAAGATAACTGTTGCACTTTTTATTTGTTGATTTTCATTATATTCAGATATGATTTTATAATTTGATAAGTGAATGATTTTAATTGTAATTTCATTGTGATAATACTATCGTAACATAATCGACAAAGATAAGAAAGTTTTTCAGAGAAATATTAATGTCCCACTTGTATGCGTTATAAATTATCCTAGATGGTTCGATTTGTATTATAATTAAATGTAGTAATACCACGTCTTTTGGCACGAGTTACGCATAAAAAATATCCCTCTAAGAAAAGGAAACTTTTTATTTTGTCAAAAGAAGAAAGTTAAACTGGTATTGATGAATTTCTTTTGTTGGAATGTGTTTCTCATGTATTCTAAACATCCTTTGACTCTGAAGATATTAAAATTCCTTAGCCAGTAAGCTATCACAATTAAAATAAATATACGAGTGAAAATGATGACGTCAAATGAATCGTTATAGTGGTGTAAAAAAATTTTAAATCGTGTCGCCGCATTCATATAACAATAGTTTAAAATAACCGTGAAGTTGACCTTCCTACGTACCATCAGTGGTATTAGTAAATCGATAAAAGCAACGTGCTCTATTTTCATATTACAAGTTTTTAATGGATAATAATCCATAAAGCATCTAGAAAGACAGATAAAGACTGCAACTCATCAAACGTGAGTAAACGGCATTTCATACAAATTTTTCGGATATGTGGACCTCACTACACATGTATATTGAGTTTGGCAATAAGAGTGTGCTCCTTTGACTAAACTATCGCACAACTGTTTAGTCGCGCTTTGATTCCTATAATCCTATATGGAGGGTGTGTACAGTACTCGATTTTTAGCTGTGCAACTAAACTGAATTGGCAGTGAAACAATCGACAATCGCTCAACATTGGTACGTAGTCGAAGGTGTGTGCGCGTTCTTACAATATAAACATTTTTATCACGTTGACGTAGCCAATAAAGTTAACCGCACTTTATGGTTATTGGTGCAGTAATTGACTCGTAACTAGAATTGCGTTCTGTGCTGGGTCGTTTCAAAGATATTTCCGGTCCTTGCGGCACGTGCGCACGCCCTTTCGTTTAAAAAGAATCGTAAAACGGAACGTGTACACGTGTTCGCGCCAAAACTATCTGTCAAGATTTTCCTTTTTCTTTTACGGCGTTAACCTTCGAATTCTTGGCGAGTTACTTTACTTCATTATTTACTTACTGAGGCCAAAAAATATCTTCGAGCGGAGGTCTCTTAAAATACAGATAATAATATTTTAATGGATACGTTATGTATTTTCTATGTCTATACTAATAAGATAAAGATAAAAGATTTGTATTTTTGTATGTATTGAAATAACTCAAAAACTACTGGGCTGCTTTCAAAAATTCTTACACCATTAAAAAGCTTTGTTATCAGTGAGTAACATAGGCTGTACATTCACGCGGACAAAACCGCAAGCAACAGCTAGTTTGAAATAAATACACAAATAGATAAGGAAAATATCAAACGGGCTGGTTGTAAAAGAAACTCGCTACACATCTGAAACAAGTAGCCTCGCCGGGGGAATTCCTTACACATGATTACAGATATGTATTAGCAATGCGTTTCAATTAGTTTGTTGAAAAGTACTTAAATTATTGGTATTATTTTACTTCTTACTAATATTATAAATGCAAAAGTTTAGATGGGTGAATGTTTGTTATAGTTTGCGCCTTAAGCAGCTGAACGATTCTCGATATTGGCATAGATGTAGAGCATAGTTTAGAAAGACACAGGCACACTGTTGTTTTTTTTTAATTCTCTGCTGACACAGTCCCGGACGATAGCCAGTTATGCTAGGACGACCTTCGGGAGTTATAGGTATTAATATGGTTAACTGAGCAACTTCCAAGCATGAATTCATTCTAGTAAATTGAAAGTCGCTGGTTAATAATTTCTGAACTAAACGCGTATGTGAGCAACGAATAAAGATAAAATTGATTATATGTTGGTAAACAACGATATTGGCGCCTTATCAATTGAAACTTGGCCAAAATTATTTTGTTTACGTTTAAAAACCGGCACCAAAATGCAACGGAATAATTTTTACATTTATAACCCAAGATTTCTCACGTACTAGTACAGTACTAACTTCCGAACGTTTTCCTCAATAAAGATACGCAGTGAAAAGAATCCGTGCCTTCACATATAGTCGCGCAAGCTTATCTGACCCGGTTGACATATGTGGCACTGAATTACAATAGCTCATTAGCGCCTTCTTCCAATATCAAAAACGTTACACAATATCCTTGTTGCACTGTAAATATTTTTGCGTCTGGTTTTAAGTATTTTCAAAAAATAAAATTACGGAGATTGCATCGCCTTTTGCACCAGGCCAGAAATGTTGTCCTACTATAAGTTGTGATGGTGTCATCGAGTACAAATTAACAAACAGCCTATTCGAAGTCGGGGAAGTACCGATTTGTCAACCAGTATTATAGTGGAGATGTTTCTTTAAGGGAATTTGGGAAATTTTTCCTCTTTATTTTATCGCATACTTTCAAGCGTTTCAGTAAGGAAATGATTTCAACGTATCTCTCATATGTAAATTCTTATAAACTACGTCTGCAGATTAGAGTTGTTTATATCTTTGCTTGATCTTTGACATGGATATTAACAACGCTTTGCTTACACACAATGCCACCCACAGCGAAGTGAGCCAACACGCGCCAGTATTACGCACGTGATCGGCCTCGTAACTACCTCCTAAAGTAACCAGTACATACTGACAGGCATTATCCTGTCATCACCTCACCCTAAAAGGTGCCCACACTTACTTAGCGCTATTTTGGTAAAGATTATTTGCCAAGAAAGTGCTTTTACCAAAAGCGTAATAACAACACAGATAAAAAACAAAATTTACCAATACTTATGTCCTTATTTGTTGTTTCTTATTACCGTTTCCCTGCGAAATCAAATGCTTAATAACGATATTTGGTGATTTGTGATTGCTAACTGAATGTACAGTCGCGGAAATACGCGGTGCTTCATAACAAAGTTGTAACGAACAAAACATGTTCCTTGCAACCAACCAGACAAATAATTAGTAATATAATAGTTTCGGAAATTAAGAAATAAAAATAAAAAATATGTCAGTATCAGTGACCGACTTTTTATCGTATGGATTAAAACTACGTTCTCTTGATTATTGTCTCGCATTTTTTCAATAAGGTTTTTATGTGAATATACCGACAGAGAAAACTAACATTTCATTCCAACGTTAGTGTTGTTGAATTTTTTATTACGTATGTAGCTGTTTCCGTAAGACCACTGTTATGTGTTATGGATAGCCGGTTGTAATAACAGCGGTATCAACAATGGCACGGCATACACGACAACTTCCATAATCCTTAGATTACTACGCACAAACATCGATTCTTAAGAAGTGATAGCGCATTTTATTTTTATGGTCCAAGAATATTATAGAGCAGTAAAGTTAGTGACATTAAAAGGATCTTTCAAAGTGTATATAGAATATTATGTTAGTGATTTGTTTAAAGTTCCTAAAATAATGACGTTGTGGCCAGATCTTAATTTTAAACTGACCTACCTTATACAACATTCGAAAACAAAATTAACATTTAAAAACAGATTAAAGGCCTTTTTCATGGAGGCCCAAAAAAGTAAACAATAATTGTATAATTATTTATATATCGATAATCTATCGCTTTTTCAAATCTTCTTTAAAATTGTTTTTTCCTTTCCGCCCGTTTCGCTATTGCATTATTTTGTTTTCCTATATTTTTTTTTTCCAGTATGCAACAGTCTTAACGAATTTACTATGGTTTTTGTGGGCTTGAGGCAGAATACCTAAAAACATTGACCTGTTTTTTAAAATATTGAATGCAATGACTTGTTATATTTATTTTTATTTTTATTTTTTTTTTTATTCATGCTTAATTTGTTTTGTCCATACAACCTTTTAGTTAATTTCTTACTTTTCAATAATTTAACTGCTGTAACTGACGTACGGAGGATGTAAAGGCTTTTGCAGAACATCAGCGTTTTTACCCCTAGGGTACAAAACATATAGCTGAGCAAAGGCCCTATCAGTTCTGCATTGCAACGCATTGTCAAATTGTTTATATATTTTGTTTTTTTTTTCCTCTTCAATTTTCTTGTCGTAAGTTTTGATTGTTAATGATTGGTTTTCGTTTTTCTTGTTTGTATTTTTTTTTGTTCAAGTGTATTATGTTGTATTGTGTTGCAGTGTGTTTTGGAACTAATTAAAAGTGTATTATTATTATTATTATTAAAACTTTCAAACATAACGTATTATCTCAGTTTTCTGATAAAACATAAGATATAGTTAAGAATATTTTTCTTTAAATGTATGGTCACTATGACTTAACGTTTCTGTGCGACAACTCCTGGTATTAAGTGGTAGTTTCAATTGCTTGCAGGCGATGGTGGCATGTTACCCCGGCTCAGGCAGCCATTACGTAAAGCACGTTGATAACCCCAACAAGGACGGCCGGTGCATCACTGCCATATACTACCTCAACCTCGACTGGGATATCAAACGATGTGGAGGACTGTTGAGGTGAGAATACAAGAGAAGAGGGAAAAACCTTGATGTTATGTGATTTATACTAATCACCTGTATCACACTGATAGCAGGAGCCAGCTGAAAACCAGCGCAGGAACGGTTTAGTCCCTCCTGCATATGCTGAGCTGGCAACCTTTTGCCACAATTTCATAATTAGAAATAAGCCCGTTTATTTGATTTCTTTTTTTGTAAATAAATACATATTCTATTCTATTCTATTCTATTCTATTCTATTCTATTCTATTCTATTCTATTCTATTCTATTCTATTCTTTATACTCTTGATATCTCAATACAAATGTAGTTCCGCTACTATCTATACATTTAAAACGTCGTCAGCATCTTCCATTCTAGATTAAAGAGAAAAGAAACAAAAGAGGTTAACACAGCCAGAAACACTTTCCTGGTGGATTTGGCTTATTCTTTGTTACTTGTCTTCATGTAAATTATATTTGTGTACATGTAACTTACAGGGTGTTCCCTGAAGGCACCAACCAGGTGGCGGACATCGCGCCCATTTTCGACCGCATGCTGTTCTTCTGGTCGGGCCCGCCTACAGCACTAGGTATTTTCTATATTTATAGCATAGATTATTATAGCAGCAAGATGTATGAAAAAGTATATAACACTAGCTTTCGGCCGCGACTCCGTCCGCGTGGAATTAAAAAAGACAAAAGTGAGTAGGCTATGTGTTCTTCCAGACTGTCCCCGACATCTGTACCAAATTTCATCGAAATCCGTTCAGTCGTTTAGGCTACAAATTCCAACAAAAATCCATCCATCCATCTAAACTTTCGCATTTATAATATTAGTATGATTTCTTAGATCAGAGAATCTGGCTTAAATTAAACAAAACAACATTTAAGAGAGTCATCCTACCAAATTATTGTAAATTGTCTGATAACAATCCAACGTGTAAAATATGTGATGGAAATATCGGATTTTGTTACTATATCTGACAGGTCATTTTAAGCTATCTGAGCCTCTATCAGCCAGTGGTGGAACAGGCCCTTAGTAGTAGAAAATAAACTTTTAATTATCGATATAGTTTATGATTATAGCATGTTTATAATAATATTTCAGATATGCGATAACATTATGGTACTTCGACGCGCAGGAGAGGGCGGAGGCACTCAGACATTACAGTGAGTGTTGACACTTGCATTGTTTTCAAACACTCTGTATAACATTATCTTTATAACTACTCTGACAGAACAGTTTATAATACCACTAGCTGTTGCACACGACTTCGTCCGTGGATTTAAAAACATTAAAAAATGTGAAGTTACTCAGTGATTACGTTTTTATTGATGAAATTTTTGAGTTATTTCGATACATACAAAAATATGAATCTTTCCTCTTTAAAATAATAGAAATAACAGATCTTGCTAGCATTGTTTTAAATTACCATCATCTAAGTTTCGACTAGTTTTTATACGTCAAATTATATTAATTCATATATTGTGAAAATCGAACTCAAGATCGTAGATACAAGAAAAACAATTAAAAATGTCACTGTGTCATGTATTTTAGCTACAAAAAAATTCTAATCTTTCAAACTATTTCCTTATTTATCCGGTTTTTTCCTGCCGAGGTGTTTTTTATTGTTTTTTGTTAAGTAGCAATTATAATTTCAGAAGAACGCGGTCAGCCGTCTTCTAGCAAGTGACGGCGGTCGAGAATAATCAACAAGATAGCTAAGTTTATATAATAATATTGTATGAT